GGTCGAACGGAACCCGCTCTACAACGTTTCTTCTCTAACTCGTTCAAGTTTAGACTGCGTGCACTCCCAAATTGGGTTTTATTAAAGTGTATCCACATGGAAGTGTCGCTGATGTATCCACATGGAAGTGTCGCTGATGTATCCACATGGAAGTGTCGCTTATTTTATATACAGGGTGTTTCGAAATTCGCGCACGCGAATTGTGGGATGGTGTTATACAACGAAAACTGCATAAAAACTTCCTCTACCAGTTTTTGATCAGACCGGCACTTTTTTTTCGACGTGCTGAAGCTTGTTTACTAGCAGACGGCGGACATTTTGAACAATTGTAATTACGTACTCGTCATAATTATAGTTTATTTTGAACCTTCTTTTGTTTATTATTAAGTTTAACAAGTGGCGCAGCGTAGTGAGGGCGGAGATTTTAATAAACCGCGGAAGCTCGAAAATAGCGGTCTGATGGAAAACTGATAGAGGAACTTTTTGTTCAGTTTTTGTCATATAACACCATCCCATAGTCCGTGTGCGCGAATTTCAAAACACCCTGTATAAATCGAAGTAATCCTAAAAGTGTATTGTGTATTATACCTATTATACTACTTTCATTACATAACTGTTAATATACGTTAAACCCAGCATATTTCAATTTAGTAGACGAAGACGTTAACATAACATCATTTACCAACTTGAGAATAATAAACCATTACGAATTTGTAAGAAATACGAAATAACATAACCTCACATTTCGATGAAAGTAAGTGATCTTTTGATTAAGATTGTGGAAAATTTAGGGCTTCTTCCGCAATTTTTTTGTTGAAAACGCTTAAGTAAGGTGCTCTCTAACCATTTTTATTAATTTCATGATCGTGGCTAGGGTCGGTATGACGCTATACACCCTCTTCCACTTTTAATATACTTGCACTAAAAAAGTGTACATATATAGCTTTTGATTACTAGAAAAATTTCTATGGTTCGACCAAATCACTAGGGAAAATATGCATGTGGCGAAAGTAACAACATTACGTTTTAAATCATTTTGGCAATAGGTAGTTGTCAACTGCTTTAACGTAATGGAATTTCTTTATAAATGAATCTGTGCAAAGAAGCGCAGTAGTCACCAACAGTAAATTAGATGCAGCCAAGGCACTCGGAAGTAAATCAAATTCTTTCCGCTTGTTCGCCTTCAATTGAATTCGTCTCGTAAAAAAAAGCGATTTTAAATACCGAACGGAATATATACGGCCGTTTAAATGTCCGATATTAGCGCCGTAAATCAGCGACACTTCAAGAAAATCGAATAACCAGAACGCGATTGTGCCGCCCTTATTAATTCACAGTGCGCGTTTCCGCGCGCACTAAAAATTTAGAAAAATAAAACGCGAACATTTGGAACGTTCAAAATACACTTTACCGGGGTAGTCGACGAAACCGTTTCCATTAACTTTGAAAGTTTACAAATATGGCGCAATCTATCTTTGAAAGCCTTTTCCGCACACTTGTACCCAATTTTTACACATGACAAAGTTTATTTTCTTCGCCGTCAACTTCAAAACCGAATCTTTTTAACATCAATAGAAATAGCACATTAGTAGTTGTTTCAGTTTCTTGTACCACAAGTATACAGAAAATCAGTGTTTGTGAGTGTAAGTTTTGGCTTTCATTTAGTCACTATTCAACAGATTAACACGGCGTTCGACCAATCAGCCCCGTCCTTCTGGATCTTCGTCAGGCATTCGGCAGGGTTTGGCACAAAGGATTGAATCATAAAATCAAAAAATATTGCCTCTCCAGCTTCACAAGCTCCTACAATCCTACCTATCAGACAGGAAATTTCGAACACGAGCCAAAGATGAAGTCTCGACAGTGCACCTAAAAGTAATTTCCCCTGAGTACCACAGGGAAGCGTCTTAGGACCATTCCTCTACACGTTATTCAACTTAGATCTCTCAACCACAACTATAGGCGCATACGACGATGACACAATTATCTTTCCGAATCATACCCACCTTAATCAAGTCGAAGAATGGCTCAAAAGAATATTGCGAATTGAAGTGACGCTCGTGAAGTGAAATTGTATCGGCGTTAGCGAGAGAGAAAAGTTAACAAGTTTGGCCGTTTAAATGTTGTAATAATAATCCGCATGGCGGAAGTGGAAACCGAGTTGAATGCAGTCAAGATAAATAAAAAAGTTCATTGTCCGATTATGTCTATAGAACAAACCGTAACGAGGAAGATCCAATTTTATCATTTCTCAGTTTAATTAGAGCAACCTAATCTTTTTGATTTTGATTTGATTTTTGATTTGAATTTGAATCTTGTTTAATAATCATTATTTAAACACATCTAAAGGAATTTGGGTTGTTTTTATTATTTTGGAAATTTTATATTCGTTTTAAATGAGACTGTTCCTTTAAATTAGTTTTGTTTTTTGTTGGCTACGAGGTGTTACCTACAAGTTACAATTTTTTATCGTTATTATAGTTTTCATGGGGGTAAGTTAGAAGCAATCGTGGCAACGGCATAACGTTTGCATTTCCCGTAGTTGAACATAACGAATTTTTGAATTCAGAATGTAAGAGAAAGTCTGCGGTGCTTTGTAAAAAACAAAAATGATAAAATCGGAAAACTAAATACCTCAAATATTACAATGGAAACCCCTACTTATTTTCAATTATCTAACAACCCTCAGTTACCAATGACTATATGCCGAAGAAATAATTACGTACTTAACACATTGTATGGAACAGTGCATGAACGTCCGCCGTGGTCCTCAAAAGAGCTTATATGTACGCCATTGGTCACAAATACTAAATGGGATACTGAATTAGGCATAATTTTAATGCCGAACGCCTAATTTTAATTAGTTAAGCACCCGAAATGTCAGCTAAATATCCGAAATGAGGAAACGCGAAGAATTAATTTAGTTAACTCTACCTTTTTTTCCCCCGGAAAGGATATCCAATCAGAAAGTGTGTTTATGACATTAAGGGCGCCATTGTTTATTTTACCATAATGTGAAACAATAAATTTTGTAAGCTTTAGGAATCGTAAACAATGACCTTTTTCGTTTGGACGGTGTCTCACTGTCCGCGTTCGCACAATGGCCGCTATCTTTCTCGGATATTTTTTGCTAGCTCGCAACATTAATCATCCTTTACTCCGTAATACTCCCATCCAGTGGTACCCACTGCCAGGACGAGGTTGCAATTTAGAGACAGTCGGGGAAATCGACTTTCCTTTGTATTTTTTTCCGTTTCGACTTCCCGTTAACATTCATACCTCTACCCTAACCGCACAATAACGTTAAGCCGGAAAATGTTTCAAAATCGGAATGCCATATTTATTTATAAACGTACTCGTATATAAAGGTCCACACTTTGACGTATTGCTGTAATAGAAGACAAAAGGAAGGGGATTGGGGATTTCCTTTTATTTTCGCCGATGTTTCCAGAATAATTCAGCAAACAAACGCCGACAACTAAAACTCGTATTGCCATCTCTAAACCTGAAAGAGGCTTTCGGCTAACATCACAAGACGAAATGCGAAGTTTATATAAATAAATTAAATTCTTGTACTGACTTTCGAAATTCTATCAAACGGCATTATGACACAAACACACTTTTACCCTAAACTTAATCGAATTAAACGTTAATTTCATTAAAGCGAAATTCGAAATTCATTTGCATCATGCTTGCTGACGTCATCTCCCCGTTGCTTAAATAACATCAATTATAACATTCGAGTGTGAAATAAAGGCGAAATTAATTTTACGGAGACAGAATTTAGTAATACTTTGCTAAATGTGGCATACGCCTGATGGACGCTTCGCTACTCTTTTCTAATAAATCACAGACTTTAGGTACATTTTGGGAGTTTGTACTTTTCTTAAAAGATTCGTGTAATAAAACTTGGCATTCGAAGTTTTCCACGCTGTCAAATTTTACAAAGTGGGCATCTTTTATATTATGAAAAAAAGGGGTAAATTAATGGTTGTCACTTTTTTAGCGCATGACCCATTTCAAAAGTTCAAATTATCTATTGAAAAGAACCGTCTCTTACAATTTGTTTATCGTAATTGTGAATTTTTCCATATAATCCACATAAGTTCAATTGTATTGAATTCACAATGTCAGGGTGGTAGACGTAGCACTTCATGCCCGTAATACGATGCTATTCAATTCGCCATGATAGTCGTCTTTTAATGATTTTGATGCAAATAGCAGTGAAGTATTCGGTATGGTACGGTCCTGTGACCGGACCAGCGCGAATATTGTTTGCGCGTATCATCGTAGACCTCAGGATATACTCTTGATACCATCATCTTGTTACGATATCCTTGGATTTCTCTTTGAATAAATCTATGTTTCTTCCATAAAAAGGCCACTAACTAACTAACTAAATTCATTTACATGTAGCTTTTGGGAAATTACGTTGGGATCTCACCTATGCTTCATTTGTTCAACAAAGCACGATGATTGAAATCTTTGTTAAATTCCTAAAGTATGTATTTCACGATATACGGCAACCTCTTGTACACAGAATAAAGATATTAAAGTATTTCCATTCCCTTCTGAGTAAGGTTTTAGCATGAACAGTCATCGTTATTTGCTACGTTTTTGATACGCTAAGTGGAAGGAACCATTTTAGCTGCAGGTGCAAACGAGGTTAACGTCGGGTAATTAAACCTTCCGCTATTCGTATTTCATAACTAATTCCCGCTCTCGAAATTGATTATTTGATTTTGAAACGTGACAAAAACTTCCGTTCTATTCGTTTCAAGGTTCCACTCGTTCAGATAGAATTATTTATCAATTCCACTATTGACTTGGCCACACCCATTGGCGACGAACTTCGGTAGAAAGTCCGGGCACAAATGGCATGAAAATTAAACAATAATCCATACCAGCGGGCGAAAGTAGCGGCAGTCGGCGGCAAATTGGATGTGATGTCAAACGGACTCGAGCGCCACCAGAAGATTAAAGTCTTGCTTCCGTTTCAGAACGGTCCCGGAGGTTTGTTACTGTTGGTAACCACAGGCGGTCAGTTAAAGAAATGACAGTCCAGAATTCGGCGGGCAGTTACGTCCAGAGAAGCAACTAAAACGGAATTACGGCACACGAACACGGTAGCGATTGCTCTAACAGTAACGCAAGCAACAAAGCATAAATTAATTAGCGGTATCTACAGGCAATCAAATACAGGAAAAGCAAAATAATACCCCCCTTATAATTAGCGCTTGCGTTTAGCTTTAAAATTAACGGTAAGTACGGTATCGTAACCGTTAAACGCCAAAGGCAAAAAGATCCCCGCTAGACAACGGCTTTACTTTTTATCAAATTCGTCCATTTCATGGAGGGATCGACGGTTTTTCCAACCGACACATCATATTCGATTGTTTACATCCAAAAATTACAACATCTTTATTATGCGGACTGCGATAAACATAAAAATCTGTAATTAATCTTAGAATTTATTTCAGTGAAGCGCGCTTCTAATGAAACCACTCACGACTGGTTCGGATGCGATTTACTGAGATAATAACACTTACTTCATTTGCCGGATTAAAATTTCCAAATTCGCTAGCACTGTAATGTAATGTAATGCTCATTGTTACCTGGAATTTCGGGTCATTCACAACAGGTCTGCGATAATAAAATCCCTAAACACTAGTTTGACATATATAAATCAAGGCTTCAAAATTTGCCGTTTTCAAACTGCGTTGCCCTCTTATCTATGGCCGGATATGATTCAGCCAGACCATATCTTATTTCTCATCAATTTTCGTTAATCTTAAAATTTCAACTAAAAAATTTTGAAAAAACCAACCTTATAATGACTCAACTGTTTACAACTTGTAATACTCAAAAAATTGTCGCAACCCTAAAGAAATTGAACTTGGAAGAAACCACGCTTAAAACCGTTTCAAACATTAAAATCCCTTCGTTATGTTTATTCCACGACCGCAAATGATTTTTCGTGCACATCATCACTGATCCGGTTTGCTCTTAATTTGGTGTTAGGAAACGGCACGTAGGTACTCGATTTTGATTTAATGTGCGACACTCCGTGCTAACAAGTTGCGCGTTTCTTTTTCGAATTCGGTTCTTTACAGCCTTTCGATTTTGGACTGATGAACGCGGCTTTGGCGCTAATTTTAATTTCGGTTTCTTCGACTTGAGATCTACCATCGCTCAAACACGAATTGAAAAAACGTGGCTTTTTCCGCCGATAGCTTTACGTTTACCGCCCGAAAGACGGATCCTCTCTACTTCATTCCTGCTTTCTCAAATTTACAAAAAACCGCCTACAAAATGGCACTAATACCGACCATCTTTATTGGCTAACCAATAGGCAGCAACTACTTAACGCAATCAGGTGCATATAAAAATCATAAATCTAAACCTACCAGATTTCAAGATCGCTTAGTTCGCAGTTCTCCCGTCGCATCATGGCATGACTATGAGTAATTGTGATTCAGCTGTTTTGGTCACTTAAAAAGCACTAAGATCATGTTATCGCACGTCAGACTGTCACTGGTAACGTTTCCCAGGCAATTAATTAGTCACGATGCAGCCAATAACTATTGATTCACAAAAAATTGAGGTGTGCAATGGAATGCGGTTACTGCGCCGCCCACAAATCACCCGTCCAGCAGCGGGTCTAACTTGTCAAAAGTTTATTCCGCAAGAAAAAAATTAAAACAAAATTCCTGAAAGAAAAAAAAAGCTTCCAAGTGTGTTTTGACATAGGTTTTGAGATATTACCCCGCACGCATGCGGGCGACAAGTAAAATAATAAATTACTTAAATTTTATTAATAATCCAAATGATCTGGTTGTACAGGGTTTGCTATATGCAGGCCCACAAAGATACTTGCTGACAACTTCCAGGAATCTTCACTTTTTCTTAATAGAACTGGATGACAAACGAGACTGATTTGATGACTACGATGACAAATTCTCGATAGCTATTCGAAAACTCGGACAACAGCGTTAATCTTTTTACACCACTTTGGTTAACTTGCTTCTACACAAATTTATCATAAAAATGATGAACTGCGTTTTCAAGTAAACAAATGGACTGACTACCCGTACAAACATTCCGTAAACTTAATGGACACCCTCTTCAACCGTCACGAAATCAGCAGCCTCGTTTTCTCGCTATCTCCAGTATTTAACGAAACACCACTTCCCCCTTAACATAAACTCCTTTCTGAATTTTTAAATAAATCCCCAATCACAACGGAACGCGCCAAAATGGTTCCCACTTCTCCAAATAAAACGCTCAATTTGTCGTAAAATCTGCATCTCCTTATCAGCACCAAAACACGTGCGTTAATGAAATTTCGCGTGACAATAAAACTCCTTATCGCAAACGACTAGATGTAATCTTACTTCTAACACCTTGTCTAAATTCAATTTACAAAAGCGATCAAATTTAAACAAGTATTACGCATTTACAAAACAACTCTAAAAGGAAAAGCAAACACTGAAATATAAATTCAAATGAAACCAACTATCTTTGTGTTTTTTGTCAAAATCTTTTCTGCATGTGGGGAAAATAGCGAAAAAAGTATGAGTCATTGTTTTTCCCTTTCATTCCAATTGTTGTTTTTTAGTCTAACAGTTAGACTTCTAACTTCAATGGTATTGAACAAAAAGTACTTTAAGTATAAGAATACTAGATGGCGACCTACAAAATCAAGATTTGTTGAGTATTTTGTCGTCATAGAAAAAAATAGGTTTCACATCAAGAACAAAATTAAGTTGCTCAATTTTATCAATAAAAATGTATCCTTTGGGTTGGATTAAATGAACATTGTAGGTACCTGCTAACCTTTTTCCTAAATGCAGCATGATCCCAAATAGAGTATTATAGACCATTTTTAAACAGCTTTTCACGCCATCATCATATTAGAAGGAGAAACTGAGAAGAGCTTCACTCACTCATTTTACCGACGAATTGGTATCGTGATGATATATCAGAAGAAAATTGCTCCTAATGTAATACATGCAGACAACAGTGCATGAATATCAAAAATCCGAATATTCTAGCTAGACGAACCAATTTTCCTCGATCAATGCTTCTTTACCAGCTACTTATGTAAATTTTTGCACGTTCTACGAAATTGAATTTCATTATGTAAATATATACTATCAAAGGGCGTACAAATATTTGTCATAATTACGTTATCCATATTCAAATGCGCGAAAGGGGCCTTCAGCGACAACTTCAATTGTTAATGGCATTTTCTCAAAGAAGGCGCGCCAGCTCTCGAAAGGAGCCGCTTTTGTCGTCTTATAGCAGGCAACTCTTTCGCATAATTAGATTTTAAACAGAAGTTCCTCGTAAGGGATGGCAGATTAGAATAATTGAGTGTTGGCTTAGGACGTATTTCGCTATGTACCAATTTACGCTACCAAATGTAATAACGAGAGTAATTGAAGTATTACGAAAAGTGTCAAGACAACACAACTCATCTGTTTCCGACGTTGTTAATTTAATCGACGCGTTGTACGAAGTTATTGGCGTGAAAATTGCATCGATTAAACAATTCAGAGAATTTTGTGCAATAAAACGTACGTCGATGTCAGAACCGCAACTTTAAAAACACCAAACAGAATTCTCGTACTGCCAGCTCGTAGTTCCTAATTTTCTTAGGTTTTTCTGTTTAGCAAAATTTATAAAATTACACAAGGAATAAAAGTTTGCAAAATAGTAAGGCGGTTGGTTGCTAAGCGCTAAGCGGCGAACTATTTTAAATCCAAATTTGTATTTCAACGCCAAACTCACAATACCTACAAAGTAGCTACTACGCAAAAACGACTACATGCGCGGAAACTACAACGCGCAATTTGAATTCAATTATGGCAGTTGGAACGGTTTTAAGGGTGGTTTCCTCCAATTTAAGATTTTGAGTTGAATTTCTGTGGAGTTGCTCAATTTTTTGGATTCAGTATTATGCAGGGTGGTCTCATTAAATGATAGGTTTTTTCGAATTTTGGGTGAATGGTTTTCGAAAGCGGTCCTGGCTAGTTAAGTAGATACGACGAAAGTAATAGAATATTCTATTATAGTACTGGGGGTGCTCCCAGTCGATCCCTCCACTGCAATCTTTAACAAAGTCCAGGATTTTGATAGGGTAAACCCTCTACTTCCACTTGTCTATTGTTTTCATTTCCATCCATTCTGTATGCTTCACATTGGCAAATGACAAATGGCAAAAAACGATCGCGAGCGACTTAAAATTAATGCCTTTTCCTTCAGCACTTGAGGGCGGTTAATAGCATTCGCGAGCGAAAAAAGACGCTCAAGAGCGGAAAGGCGCTCGCGAGAGAAAAAAACGCTCATGAGCGGAAAAACCGTTCGCGGGTAGAAAAAAGCGCTCGAGCGCCGAGCACTTTAAGTAAACGCTCGAGTATCGAACACCCAGCGACCGCTCCGAAAAGTGCTCGCTGGGAAGCTCTTTTTCCGCTTGGAGCGCTTTTTCAACCGAAACGCTCGCGAGCAGTACCCAGCTATGGGTAGAATTTACTCCCTTGCTTTCCATAGCAGTTTTAATCGATTCTAGAAGGAAATTGGCAAACGCCCCCTCTATATCTAGAAACGCCCCTAGAGCTACTTCCTTACAAGAGATCGCCCTTTCAGCTACATCCACTACTGCTGATTTTTCCTGGTTGATAGGTACATTGGTGTTTACTGATGGGTTAGAACCCCAGCAACACCTTGGCTTAGGGGTATGAGTCTCGCCCAGACTTTTACTTCCCTTTACGCCATAGGTATATATCCCAGGGCAAAACTGGCCCTTAGAAATGTACATAGTGTGCAGACTAGCAGATAGAGGCCTTGTTGTAGTAGAGCCGGAAAGATTCGATCCGTCCCTGGGGATTTATACGGATGGAAAGAATGGTTAGGTTCACTATCTGTCGAGCGAAAACCCTGCTTCTCTATTCTCCCTGAGAGGTGGTTCCGGAGTAATTGGTTCGCCCGCCTCATTTTGAGAGAGGGTCTTTGATTCCGGAAATGTGGTTGAAGGGGTTCTTTCCCCCCCTCAATTTTCGCCAAGGAACCGATTCCACCCTCTGTTCCTTTTTGTAAGGCTGTTCGGACCTTCTGGACTTGA